GTTTATACTTTGCTTTTCTAGGAAATTGTATTGTTATGTAATATCGTATATGTGTTGTGAGTTTACGACCGTAAACTGAGTTTACAACCGTAAACATGTTTACGACCGTAAACAGAGTTTACGGCCGTAAACACGTTTACGGCCGTAAACCCAATTTGCGGCCCAGTCCAGTATATATAGGGGTGAGGGGTGTGAGGAATTGCGTGAAAAACGTGAGAAGAAGAGAGAAACTAGAGAGAAAAGAGAGTGTGTGTTAGTGTGTGTGAATCTTGTATCCGGATCTTCATTCTAATCAATACTATACAAGATTCATATTATTCTTCTTCTCCTTCTCTTCTATTTGATCTGACATCATCCGTTTGATTGGGATTCCGCACCATCAAACGGATCTGATTGATACACAGACAAATTAGGGACTAACAATATCATGTCGACATTTACATAACCAATAACATAAATAACTAGCAACATATATACATATAACCAGTTCAGCAGACAAACCGGCAGACCTACAGATCACTGTCGCATAAAAACATCCTATATACCAGGATACAGATCTAATAGATCATTACATCATAACATCCTATAAACCAGGATACACAATCTAGAGGTTCGGAATTGGTGCCTTTGACCCACGAGTTCAGTGAGGGAAACTCACCTCGCAGTCTGAAAAGATAGCTGATCACACCACCGCTCCGTGTACCAACTCTACGGGTCACCTATACAAAAAATAGTAACATTGTCTCAAAATATTGCCCAAAATACCCTCAGGTCGAACTTGGTCAAAACCTTGGGCAAAGGTAAAAGTCAACAAGTCAACTCAGCCAGTCGCCACGTCATGGCTAGCTCCAGCCACGCCGTGGGGACTATAGGAAAAACGGTCGCATGGCAGCCATCCAATACGTCGTGGTGACCCATTCACCACGTCGTGGTGACTATTTAGACCAACTTAATGCAATAAGCTCTTAATCCATCAAACCAACCATTTAAACTTCCCATAAGGAATTCTCTCATCTAATGAACCATTAGAAATCGTTGCTTTATAGACATGCATGTCCAATGCATGTCTTGAACTCAAATTAGGTCAAAATAGAGTAAAAAGGCCCAAGATCACATGCAAGAGTTCAAAACTCTATGAAATTCAAGATCCAACATGCCTAACCCCAAAGGGGACTCTAGGGATCCATAAAGTTGTCAACTTTATGGTATTCCATCATTCCAATATGTCCCAACATGAAGCATAAGGCATAGAAACCTAGATCTATGCACAACAAACCCAAAAAGCATGGAACTTGAGGACTTACAAAAGTCCAGAAGATGCACAACAAGAAGATGAGAAGAGTTCCTTACTAAATCCAAGCCCAAATGTCACATTCTTCTTCTTCTAATACCCAAAAATCAACACTAAAGGCGTAGAAAGCAATTTGGAGGTTAGGGTTTGATTAGAGGCTGAGAGAGTGTGATGGAGGTTGAGGGTGAGCAACCCTAGCCATCACATTCCCTTAAATATGGGCATAAACCCCAGAGACTAGGGTTTCTCATTAAACCGCCACCACGCCGTGGCTATAGGCCGCCACGTCGAGGTGGTCATTTAAAACCCATGATACAATGACCATCGCCACGTTGTGGTATGCCTTCACCACGATATGATCCGTCCAAAATCCAAAATACACTTTATTTAAAATACCTCTAGGAATCCGGGTGTTACATTAATTATTTTTGCATATGTGGCCATTATGTTGGGCGTAATTAAGGTACGCGAGGCATACCATGTCGAGACTTGGACACATGGTTTTCCCCTAGTACGTTGGGCGTACCTAGAGTGCGCAGGGCGTACTTGATTAAGGGGAATACCCTAATTTTTGGGTTTTCGACCCTATAAAACCTGATTAACTCCCTTAAGGTTGACCTTATCCTCAACCTCCATCCTCTAAGAAGTTTCCCTCGAAACCCTACCCCCTTTTGTAAGAGCATTAAGCCTTTTAAGTGAGTTAGTGTGTGTTTGGTTCATTTTGAAGGAATAAGAACTCTTTGGAGAAGCATTGGGTGGTTTGAAGCTTGTAGATCAAGATCTTGCTCACCTTGATCATCCTATTGGGGGTATAAAGTCTCAACCTTGTTGATTCATCTCTTAGATCTAGTTTGTTAGGTTTTTGGCATATTTTCATCCCTTGAGTTGATTCATGTGAGTATAAGTTAATCAAGAAGCTTAGAATAGTACATCTTGAGGTCCTTAATGCGTAAAAATAGCATCTTGATGGCTTTAACTCAACCATGCAAGAGTTGATGTTCATAATATGGTGAGAAATTGGTTTTGAGCCTCTTTGAGCCATGTAAAGGCATCAAGTTGACAACTTTATCATTTAAGACATTCCTAAGAACAAGATATATGAGTTGGATGTTTGGTCTTAAAGGATTAAGTGCTTAAAAGTCAATTTGGGCTTCTGAGGCGTATGTCGAGCGTACCCTTCCAGGTACGCAGGGCATAACATGCTTGGCCTGATTTCCCTCTCGAACGTAGTGTAGTACACTGGGCGTAAAGGTGGTATGCATGGCATACTCACCTGAAGTCCGTTGGGGCCATTTTGGGCATTAGTGTTAGGTTGGGCCATTTTGGGCATTGGGGTTAGTTTGGGCCATTGTAGGCCATGGCTTGTTGCGCCTAGCGCAGGAAAGGTAAAAGGGTATTTTACCCTTTTTGGGAAGGATTATGATTTCGATTTTTTGTTGTGGATTATTAACCTAAACAGTGATTAGGGTTGGTTTGAATGTGTTCAGTGTGAGGAGAAGTTGTAACAGTAACTTGCGTGTGATTGCTTATCACCATATTGAGGTGAGTTTTCTCATAATATTTGGCGGGTCGAAGGAACCAATGTCGGCCCATTGATTATTGTTATTAGGATGCTAGCTGTCTGTGTGACTCTTACATGTATTGTATGTGTTTGTATGTATACCGGGCGGGGCTCGATGCCAGGCGAGGCCTGATGAATGTGTTGGGTGGGGCTCATCACATTTTATTGAAAGATCTGTACTAGGCGGGGCCCAATGTCGGGCGAGGCCCGATGGATGTCGGGGGAGACCCATTGTACGTATGGTATGTGGTATTTTGGAGAATTTCACTAAGCTTTGTGCTTACGGTTTAAGTTTATGTTTCAGGTACTTCTGGTTCGAAGGGGAAAGGCCCAACTTGATTGCAGCGCATCCACCCGTGTTCAACATTTTTATGATTTTGGGAATTATACTCTAATAAATATTTTCATATTGATATACTTATGAATGGTTTTATATGAATACTTGATGGTTTTTGGTTGACCTAAAAATGAAATTATTACCTGTGATTTTTGGGATGTTACACTCAATATTCCTACAGGTATGGAAGGGAACCCTTTGTTTATGCATTATATGTTTTGCAAATAAGTTGTTAAAAACCCACGAAACGTAGTAAACAAAATGTGTTTCTTAGATCAATGAGTAAAAATTCACCTTTGGGGGGAAGAAATTTTATCTTATTACTAGTTTCATTTTTGGTGTTTTTTTTTTGACGCTACGAATCCCAGTTACGACTTTCGATTGCGATTGTTTCATATGGTTATCCAAACGATCCGGTTAAGTTGGAACATATAAATAACGCATTTAAGTCTTTTAATGAGTTATCGGATGAGAATATTGTTTGAGTGTGTCTACAATACTTGGTGGAGAAGGGGTTTAATGGTCACTACCACAAAACTGGACCATCACGTTCTTTACTGCACTCAGAAGAGAAAGTAGAAGATGAAAAAATCATATTGGAGTTTCAGATGGGACTTCATAAATGTTAGATGCATTTGTTATTCGTTCATGATACTGCATAACTACAACATAAACATATGTCTCGTATTGTGGTTGTGTTTGTTGGTGATTTTAGTGTCACCAGACATTTTATGTAATTGAAACTAATATGTGAGCTAAGGGGCTTATTATTTGTAGTCTATATTATATGTTCGAAGAATGCGGAGTGCATGCATATATAAGATCAAATTATGTTCGAAGAATAGGTGTTTATGGTAAGATCGACGAATCTCATCAGTTTTGGAAATCATTAATTATGCCATTAAATTCGTGATACAATTAATTAATTTAGAAGATAAAACCCTAATCTGTCAAGTATATACACGACTCCTCTTTTGAGCTATATGATCCTCTTATGAGCTCTCTCTATATTATATAACAAACTTAGAATTCTTCTGGCAAATTGGCTTGTGTTTATGTGTCTAGATTCACAAGTGTCCTTTTAGATTATTCTATATTTATTTTCTTGCAACTCGGGCATAATATCAGTCCGGAAAACGAGCTTATGTGATCCATCATGAATCCTCCACCATAACCCTTTGATTCCCCCAACAATGTTAGGGATACTTGTAGACCCCTATCATAGGTATACATCCTAGCAATTGTATATGGTGATTTTCCCCGATAGAGGATTGAGGTACATTCCTTAACAAGGGTACCACATAGGATTATGGTACGCACCATTAGCACCCTCACATAATGATGACATTCTTGAGGTTGTTCAGTTAGATTTCCGGTTCCAAACCCCACCATTGGCACTTAGGTGTACACACCGAGAGACGTACCTTCGATTTGGTTCAAATCTTTATAGGTACATATGAAAAAGAAAGGCATTACACGCACACATTCCCTTAAGTTCGTTAGGCAACAATGACATTTTCTCTCATTTTTAACATGTAAAATATATTTCATAGGAATAAGAAATATATTTATTTAACATGCAAATTTTGATCAAATATTATTTTCATAAAATACATTTTTGAGCACTCATTCATTAATTTTAATTTACTCATATTATCAATAATAAATAATAAAAACAACCTAAGATTTCATATTTATACTACAAGAGCAATTTAGATATTATAACTTTATACTTCAATAAAAAAACCAATTATTAATAAATAAATTCTCAATATTATTTGATTTTAAATATATATAAATATGTATATATTTCTCCAAATACAAAATAAATGTAAATATACATCAAACAGAAATTGCAAACAAATAAAATAAATTCACCCTCTACACATTTTTTTCAACTATACAGTCTTAGTTACATTTGTGAGTTGTTATAGCCAAAAGAGGCTTCATCAATCCAAGAACATCCGAATTCTTCTTCAGTTAGCCATGGAGTTTGCGCGAGCTTTGTATTGGGTCTCTTTTTCGGTGAAATAAGCTTTCATCCTCCTCTTCAATTCCTTCCTGTAAACACAACAATCAAAACATTCAAAACACAACTCTTAAACCGATGCATGATTTCTTATTCTTACATCATCAGTTGTCTGTCAAGAGCCGAGGAAGACAACATCCCTTTGTTCTCCTCCGCTCGCCGGAGAAGATACGGCATGATTTGATCAACAGGTCCGAACGGCAAATACTTGCTCACAGGGAATCCGGCGTTCCTCAACGCAAAAGTCATCGCATCCGCCATTCCATACAACGAAGCAAACTCAAGCTTCCCGCTGTCTTTTCCGATCGCATATTCACGAGCCTTTTTTGCAGCTAAACTTGCTGTTATTGTTCATAGATTTTGTTCAGAATCTCGTTTAGTTTCATGATTTTCACAAATGGGAAATGAAATCTTTACCTGAATTGAGATTATGGGTGGCGAGAATGAGTCCTCCGGGACGCTTTGAAATCTGATCAAGCATAAACGCAGCACAACGATTGTAACATTCGTGTGTGTTTTCAATGGTGTCATGAATCGGAGACTCAACACCCAACGAGTTAGCCAACTCTCTTTCACTCGACATGTATGCTCCACGAACAATCTTAAATCCGGCAGGCAAGTTCATTTTATCGGCGGCGATTTTCGTCATCGTTATCCTCTCGCCGGCGTCCTTCATGAAAGCTTGAATGGTGCCATAAACCATCGGTCGTTGTGGTTCGTTGTATTTAATCGCAGCCCAGTATGTTAAGTAATCAATTGCAGGCTGAATTGCAGTGTCTTCAGCGTCGATTACAATGCGAACGTTCCCTTCAAAAGCTTTCTCACAAACCCTCATTAATCGTTTTTGGGCTAATTCGAGGTCATCTTCTTCTTCACCATTCAATGGTGCTGGTTGTTGTAATGTGTGGTAGAAGGGGCTTGTTTCAGAGAATATCGGTAAAGTTTGTTGCTTCCATGGAAGCTTGAAAGATGAGTTCTTGTGTTCCCATCGAAGAAGATCGCTCAATCTCTTGAGCAGATACACTGGGCAGAGTGCTGTAACCTTCACAGCCACAAATCCAACCTGTTTTTTGTCCAAATTTAGTTCATATCAATTCTGGGTTCTTGAGAAGAACATCAAAATCGAACAAAAGTTTCATCTTTTTGAATAAAAAAGAAACTTACAGACGAAGGAGGAAGAGACTGGGTGGATTCAGCGGTTTTGATCAAGTGTTGAGCAGCTTTATCACAAGATTCGTTATCAACCGCATGTTCAACCCCATAATCCAACATTCCTCTCACACCGGAATTCCACAACCTCCGAACAGTCTTACCGGTTTCAACCGTATCGCCGCCGGCCACGAAATGATCATACGCCGTATACTTAATCGTCCCCATCACAACTTTTTTAAACAATGGAAAATCCATCAACTTTGAATTCATAACCCAGAGACTCAAATCCACCATGGGTTCCACCGCCGCGACGTTCAACGTCGCCGCAGAATGCAACAGTTTCCCTGTTGGAACCGAGGCAAACAAAGTTTTCGTGTCGTCAAAGTTGAATATGTTGTCACCATCTTTTCCGGCGACAGCGGCGGTAACATGTTGTGGGGCTTGTGAAACGATGGTGGTGGTGGCGTTGGTTGTAGCTCTTTGAGCTTGATGGCATCTTGAAGGTGAAGCGGCATTAACACGGTGGACAGCAGATCGGAGTAATTTGAAGGAGACATCTTTTTTTATCATCGCCATGGTGGCGAAGGTGGTGGTGGTAGTTAGCGGACGGCGGAGGTCGCTTAATAACTATGAAGTGATCTTGCCTCAGGTCTGAAGAAGATCTAAAGCAAGATCGCTAAATAGCTATGTAAGCACTGTGGAAAGAAATGATATGGATTTATTAACCCACTGTGTGTGTGTTTTATTCGATGACTTTTATTGAGGTGTTGTTGGAGGTATTTATAGTGGTCAAATTATCGGGTCAAGAAGATGATATGATGACCCGACCCGCGTGAGATTCGTGTTGTGTAGGAAATTTGTGAGGTGAAATGGTTAATGAATTCGTGAGAAACACTAAAGTTGCCCGTTGTTTCTCTAAGGTTAATAAAAAGTTTCCAATATTGGAAAGTTTCCATAAATAAAAACTAATGGATATTATGGAAAGTATGTTAATTAAATTAATATAAAAATCGGAATTTCTAAATATTATGAGATTTTTCTATTGTGAATCCACTTTATAATCCAATAACTAATTTTGTGGAAATTCCATGCTTTAGTTTCCATAATTTTGTGAATTGAGAGGTTTAGGGGTTATTTGAATTGTCTTTTAAATAGATTAAGAATTATTTAGTAATATTTAGATTGTTTGGTATCATATTTAGAAATCTTTGCTTGTTTTTTTTTCTTTTGTGCCTTTTTCTCGGTCTAAAACAGTTTGACTTGGTTAGAATTTGATTCAATCATATTTGACTTAATCAACAATTTTTAAAAATCGTCTTAACTAATTGACATTGTGGGATTCTATTTATTAGGGTAGCTAGTACTTTATATGTAAAAACTCATGTGTGGTATTTTATCAAGTTCAAATGCATGTTATAAATGTGGAAAAATGGAATGAAGAAGCGGAAATTAGATTCATTTGTTGTTTAGAAAATACATTTAGTTCTATATCTAAACTTAATTTGTTACGTATGCTATTAAAAGATATAAGATAGTTGTATATGGAAAAAGAAAAGGTAAGTATAACCGTGCATCCTACATTTATCGAACACTCAGAAAAGTTTCACAAACTTTGAAATAATCTTAAGATAAAGGCTGATAACAAATAAACAAATAAAGAGAAATTTATTAAAATAACCAAAATTCTTAATATTTTAGTTAAAAATAGCCAAAAATTATATATATATATATATATATATATATATATATATATATATATATATATATATATAGAGAGAGAGAGAGAGAGAGACAGAGAGAGTGTTAGGTTCAAATATGGATAGACCTGACAATTCGTGTATTCGTGTCATGAAAATGTGTCAGGCACGAGTTTGACACGATACGATTACACGATGAGAAATAAGCTTTATCTCAATTTTTAATATGTATTCGTGTCGTGTCGTGTCTCTCACAGATTCGTGTCTTCGTGTCTGAAATTGCCAGGTCTAAATATAGATTGACATCTATTGTGCGGACGTATGTATAGTGCTATTATGTGAGAATGATAAAGAAAATATGTTGTTTGATAATATGAATACATTCAATGTTACATAACTATTGTCATTATCACACATTATCACTAATTAAATCGTCGATAATGTTATTATAGACTTTTTATTATTATTCTCATTCTGTCAAAATATTGTCAGAATGTTTATTGAGTCGTATTGTGTAAAAATGAGAATGAGTGAAAAATGATGTGTGAGAACAAAAATGAATAAGAATTAGTGAGAATGCATGAAAATGACGATAGTTGTGTGAGGCTGAACGTATTCAAATTACTAAACAACTTATTTTCTTAATAATTCTCATACAGTAGCGCTGTCCACACGTCCGCACAATAGTTGTCCATCCACATTATAACCTAGCCCTATATATATATATATATATATATATATATATATATATATATATATATATATATATAGCCAACGAAACCGCAGATGAGTTAACTTGTTTGAGGTTTCGTCAACTCGTATGTGGTTTCGTCGTTTGACTCGGTAACTCGTCTACGATTTCGTCAAATTGGTTGTGGTTTAGTGATCCACGTGGGTTTTGTAGCTCATTAGTCCATTATATTTAAACCCTAAAAATACTTTATAGCTCATTTTTGGGATTCAAAGCTACTTAATTTTTTTCGATAGAGGCTCCTATTAACGGTAACTAATCTTATACATAGATTTTTTTGTTTGTTTTTTATCATATAGGTTGAAATCTTGTATTATTTAGTATGTTTATTGCATGAAAATCGAAAAAAGAAAATAACGAAACCGCAACTGGATATGCATGTGATGTGCATAACGACTAGTAATACAGCATATGGCATAATCATCCGCGGTTTCGTTCTTTTTTATTTTTTTATTTTGTATTGTTTTTTGTGGTTTAGTTCTTATATGGTATTACATAATCGTCTAGTAGTGTCGCTTTTGTTAGTTGTCTGATAAAAAGTGATGAACAAAATCATAGAAGGTCAATCGTCGATGAATGTACAGGTTAATGCACAAAATGTGAATTATGGACTTATACATTCGCATATGGCCATGTTATCTACGATTACATTCATATTTTTCGTTCAAAGAAAGGAAACTCCAAATGACATCAGAGGAAACCGTAGATTGCTATATGCCAGAAAAAGTCATCGATCATAAAAGCCCATTTTAACTACTTTTTTATATGCACCAAATTATGACCTCTTTCACATGAAGGTGGCACCATGAATAATTTATTGCATATTTATTGACTACAACGCCCACTATGTCGTCTTGACTTGACCACTTTTCATATCTATATTGCATAGTTTGATGAAAAATATTTTTCATTTATCGGAAGTATGCTAAATGTTGACTTGGCAACCTTCTTCTTCTCCAACTGTTGTGAGTCTTAAAATCCAGATCCTCCACCACCTCATGATCGAGTCGCAACAAAACTCCTAATATTCTACACGACTTATCAGCGTCGACCCAAAACCAATGTTAGCTTGGCGTTACTTTCCTCGACCTAAACCACACTGAAGTCCAACCCCTTCTTACTACACCCTCCGACTTGATGCTCGTTACCACGACTAGATCTCCTTTAATCGCTCAAACGATACCATAGATAAAACCTTTTGTTTTGTCTCCACCACAAATGGCTGCTACCAGAGCTTCGATCCATCCAATGGACACCCGAGCATTTTCCGGAATTTCTAAACAATGCCATTTTGTGATCTTGGTCAGCTCAAAAGTAGTGGCCTCCATCATACTTTTTTTTAAAATAAGAAACCCAAATATGTTAAAAATGTCACTAAAAATCAAGAATGATCATCAACTAAGCTTTTTGGGCCAACAATAATTAGGTCTGTTTGCCCCACCAAAATCATCAAATATTGTTGGCTTTAAATGGATATTTTGGAAAAAAAAAATTCTCTCAAACGACAGTGTCGATTGCCTCAAGGCTCGTAATGTTGCATAAGGTTTTACTCAAATATTTGGCGTGGATTATTCACTTACCTTTGATTCATTTGTAGATGCATCCATGGTATGAATCGTTCCCCCCCCCTCTCTTTCTTTCTTTCTCACCCTCTTGTTGTTCTTAACAAATGTCATCTTTTATCATTTGAACATCAAGAATGCCTTCTTGAATGAGTATCTAACCAAGACCTTCGTTATGGAGTAGCCTTCGAGTTTCATTTGTGTCTTTGATCCTTATAATGTTTGTCAACTTATATGTGCTCTGTGTGGCTTGAAGCAAGCATTGGTTTCCTAGTTTCAACGCATCAATGGGTTTTCTTAGACATTTGGGTTTCACATACAACTATGTATTTTAAAGCTATTGGTCTTCGTTAATCAATATCAAAGACTTGTTTCTCCTCAGCTACTTTCTCAGGTCTCAAAATCATGTATGATGATGATCATGATCTCTTCTAAATTCAAGCTAAGTGCGCCAATGATATTCTCGTTTGTTTAGGCTTACTTGACTCCAAACATGTCTTGACACCTCTATCTATTATTGAATCGAAACCTACCACTTACCACTCCTCAGTTTTGGCACTTAAATATCTCATGATCACAAGGCCAAAATTGTCTTACGTAGTTAATCGAGTAAGCAATATCTTGCATGCTACAACAATCAATGTGTTGTCATCAAGTTTTTAAATGGATCCTTTAAATAACTTTGTATAACAAATAACTTCTTATTCAGCGGTATCAAGTGTCATCCCTCCTTGAGGTCGATGGCTCAAATCATGTATAGGACATACGTGAAATTAGAAATAGTTTAGGAATATAGTAGAATTGGTGTAAAAAAATATTTAAAAAAAAAGTCAATATATTTATATTCAATCCATAAATATCCATCTCAAATATTTACGACCTAATCGGAGAAACTTAAAAACGTAAGGACTTTTTCTATAAATAACTCTATATATATTCATTGTGTTGAGAATATCTAATAACTAGTTAACAATATAACTACCAAAAATAATAAGAAGTTATTTATTAGCCAACTAGATATAAGATCTGTGTATTACTGATTAAAAAAGATTAAAAATCAAAATGTAAACAATAAATACTTTTTAAAATAAAATATCGAAATAAGAAATGAAAAAATATATTGATTTCAATTTACTATCACATTTATTACATTTAATACTTTATATATATATATATATATATATATATATATATATATATATATATATATATATATATATATAAAAATATTATATGTCTTTTTAATTTTAAAATTTAAAAAAAACAAAAATTAATATGTAGATATTGCATATTTCAAAAATATCACAATAAAAAGCTCATAAGATTGACATGTTGCAAAGTATATCTTCATTTATTGTAATAAAAAAAAAAACCTTTTCTTAATGCTTTTAGAAACTAAATGTCAAAGTGATTTTTTCATTTTTCTTTATTTTTGCACTTCCATATATAAACAATGCTTGAAGGGATCGTTTTAAAGGAGCTAGCTAATTAATTAATATCCATTTCACTTCTCGTTTTCATTGTACTTATTTAAAAGTTGGCCAATAATCTCCGATCTCATTTGTCATCTCCTAGCCCCTTTTATTGAAAGTTAAATTACCTTTATACCTTATATTCTTCATTTAATTTTAAAATATCTATTCTCATCCTTAAATTTACGTTCATTTCCATATATCTAAGCTTTTGATATTAATACAATCAATAAATCTTGGTTCATTTCCATATATCTAAGCTTTTG